GGATATCATTAGGGTATCACATTGACTTTTACGCATTGAACAACATTTCCTGACCTCAAAATCTCATACTTTATTTGCCTAAAATCAACATTTTTTCTTTTAATTACAATGAGTGAGTTTCCTAAAAATAATACACAATACAATAAAATCTCTAGAGAAGATAATGATATCAACTTTTACTAACATGTTTTTAATAACTTCATGCATGGCACAATGTTAAGTTGCGATCTTGGTTTTCTTAAAGTCTCACACCATTTACTTAATGTAAATTTATTTTGAAAAAATTACTACAATGAATGATAATAGCTAATAAAATTGTATTTTTTAACTATAGAAATGAAATAAAAATTACCATTAAGATATTGGTGGGAAGCATTTTTAGTTGATAATAATCTGAGAATACATTTAGGAAACTCATAAAAGCATAGATGACTATCAAGTCATTTAATGCACTAATTAAGAATAGTGGTAGATTTTTTTGGCATAAGATGAGTTTAGACTAGAGAAATCAACACACATCCACCATTTTTAATTTGGCATTCAACCATCACAAAATTTGATATCAACTTTGGATATTATACTTGTATTATGAATTGTAGTTTAAGTGATTTTTAATTTTTATCGCAATTTACTTTAACTAGCATTTCCATGAGTGGACACATTTTATTTTATGGAATTTTTTTTTATGTAATCATTCAGTTAATGGGAAGAAATATTAATGCTGGCTTATGAAATCTTAACAAATAACTAGATAGATATGTTAATATTTTCCCTTAAAGTTTCCACCAACTCTCCCCTAAATTAGCATTTAAAGATGAGCTTATTTTAAAGTGCAAAAAGGTATCCTTTTGTAAGTAATTAATTAATCTTTTAATAGATCTCAAACTCCAAACATCTGTGAACTTTTAATTTTAGGAATTTCACTTGTACAATATCTGTAGCATTCTTGTAGCATGGTCTTGATTTTAGTAAATCATGTCACACTACTATCACTTGGCCTTTGGTAAAAAATTTATAATGTTGTGACATGTAGAGAAGATTATATAATTATTTCTTATGTCTTTCTTTTCCTTCAAGATAAGCAATATAAAGGACATGTGTTCTTAAATAAGCGAGTTGCTTCAATACTCATCTTCTCAAAGATGCTTTTCAATATTATATTGATTGAGCTCCCTATGTCAACCAATATGTTTCTGATTGGTTGTTAATGTTTTGTGTTTTCAATATTATGGTAATAATGTCAGGATACTTACTATGTTGCTTATTAGCTTTAAAGAATTTCATGGAGACAACCTTTGAAATTTACGCTCACAAAGAAATTGCCAAGTTTACCTCTCCTGACCCAAGTTGGCTAATGATAGTATAGAGAATAGCTTCATATGATTTACCTATGTTTAAGAGTATAAATTTGGCTATGTGGAATCCTGATATAAGGATGGGCTCCTTTCTAAAATTTATAATTATCTCCTTACCTAACTTTTATCTTTGTTTGGCTATGATAGTTTATTTTAATTTTTCTTTACCTAAATATTTGAGGTGGATATAACACTGTAATGACAGTGATCATTATGGAAGTACAATACCAAGTTATGTCTCTTTAGTTTGTGCCATCCTTCATAACTTCAGGGTACCTAAATTTTTTCTTTTCTTTTTTTAAATGGACTCAACTCGCTCAATAATTGTTATTCTTAATTGAGTTAATTTTGAAAGGCGGTGGGTAGAGGGTTATAAGAAAGCTTCTATTTTCCTCTTTCCTTGGTGTACCTGCCATGCTTTCTTTTCTGTAGATGGAAATGAGAACATAGGTGGGATAAGGTTAAGGTTGTACATGAGGTTGAATGACCTCTCACAATCTCAAAAACATAGGCCAACTACGCTATTCTTTTGGGGATTGTATCATCATTCTTACTCGATAAAGACTTCTCAGTAAATTTAAAAATGAAGCATTCATCTTATTATTATAATTTTTTTATTGAAATAAACATTAATGAGTTCAACTAACCAATCTAATATCCTTAGAAATTATAAATTGAGTGCATAGAAAAAAATGTAATTGTATGAAAAACTTTAGTAGAAACTTGAGGCACAACTAGCTCCACGCATTTTATCTTTAGTAACTCTCTTTCAAACCTCATTGAAATTTCTTAGTAACTTGCCAGGCTTTTTGCACATCTTAAACAAAGGCACTAAATTCTCTTAGGGGCTTTGTGAGTGATGAATTATCTACTAAAAAAAAAAAAAAGCTACATATTCATTCTGAGTGATCGAAAAAAAAAATCATCTATAGACATTGATTCCTTAAAGTTATATAATAAAAACTAGTACCTTAGTTCATCATTGAAGTTGAGCAACAAGATGGTAGATTCAAATTAGGTGACATGGTCAGCAGGGTCAATTTAACCTAGAAAGTAGTCCACATATGATATTTCAAATTTGGCAGTCAATTTATTTTTAAAAGGACCTCTAAAAAGAGTGATTATTAGATAGACTCGCTTATTTTCTAAACACCCCATTAATTTACAAGATAAAAGGGATGTATTCCCTTTTTTTAAATTGTTAGCATGTTTCATTAAAGGATGGCAAATCTCACACTCCAAAGTTTTTTCTTTTAGTTATTGAGCTATTTTATTTCTCAAAAAGCAGCATTCTAAGTGCAGATTTTTGGATCACTTCAGGAACCCAGCGGACAATTAAACTGAGTTTTTCCTTAATATCAGTTAGGTATCTATTTGTTTTGAAATTTTGATTTCCACTTAACAAAAACTTTCATTATAATTGTCTTTATAGTTACATCTCGATCTACATCTTCTACTAAACACAATATCTTTTTTAGTTAATGGCATGGGTCCATACTAACAACAATATTTAAGTTTTCGAATCAAAATTTTTTTTTTGTCTATCAAAATCATACATAACATGAAGGAAAAGAGGATGTAATTAAGCAATAGATAATTTTAAGAGATAGACAAAGTGGATCTCTGTAATGGGGAGAAAAAAATTTATTATCAAGCTCAAATGAATAATAATTTTATGCTGGATAATACAAAGCCACATAAAGCTGAAGTAATCCTGTATTTATAAGTAAGTGAGGATTGAGGTTTGATTGCTACAAAATATTTAGAGAATAAGCTTCATTAGTGTGTGTGTGTGTGTGTGTGTGTTTGTGTATATGTATGTATGTATGTATGTATGTATGTGTATGTATAAGGTGTTTAGCCTATGACTCGGGCTCTGATTGCTAGTTCTTCCATAAGTAGTCATGTAGTGGCTCTTTAGGACATGAGCAATAATCTTCGTTAAGTTGGTTTAATGAATCTATTTTTAATTTTAGGCATTCTTTATGAGCTTGAAGAATGCCCCTCATTTGACTTTGGCTAGTGAATCTACCTAAGTCCAAGTGCATGAGTCACGATGTGCTCCATTGATGAGTTATTATACCCAATCAGACATGAGCTCATCTAATGAGATCATCATAAACTGGCCCCTACAACTTTTCTATTATGTATTGATTGGGCAACTTCCTCCCCTAATTTATTTTGGGTGTATAATCACATGAATATATATATATATATATATATAGATTACATAAGCATTTCAAGATATATAATAACTCAAAATAAGGATCTACGACAAAACCATCAAAGGACCAGCATATGATTAAGTTAGACATTTTCATGAGTGCTAGTAAATCTTAAGCATAAGACATGTAAAGTAAATTACTAAAAATAATTTAATTGTTAAGATTTTATGAAAATCAATAAATGTTAGGTTATTAATATTTAAAAATTTAAAAAACAGAACCATAAAGTAAAATAATCACAAAAGAAGTTTTAAATAGTTTGCATTAAATACTTACTATACATGTAATAATAGTCTACACGGCAGAAGTGATTATACCTCCACCAGATTTTGCTCCAGACAATAAAAACCGAAAGAAAAAACGGTCTGGAAAAGCTCGGGACAATTAAGCTGTGAATTAAATTATGGAAGAGAAAACGTGAAAAGCTGAAAGTGAAACCGATATATTTAAAAAGTTGCCAGGGATAAGGAAACTGTCTCCGAAGTCACGATACAAATCCATGTGCTTTCAAAGATAAGGGATCAAAGTTGCATCACATCGTCAAAATCTACCACCCCATGTGCTCCTTCTGCTAAGAAAGCTGACTCGGGCTTTGCCTTCACTGTTAGATGGCGACGGGCTACAATTATTTCACCCAATAACTAAATTCTACAGTTTAATCACGTCGACATGTTTGTCTTTCTGCGTGATGTCAATGTCTCCCAAAACACGACCACGGCCAAATTTAGTTACTTCCCTTACCAATTATTACACCCGCAGAGAGAAGTTGAGAGAATTACATGAGAAAACCTGCTTCACAATGGGTGGCAAAATAAAAATGCGACATGTCATATACAAGGATTTACCACGTAGTGGGAACATTTGTGCATGCGTTAAGCTTGGCAGTAAAAAGGTTTCAAAAAAAAAAATACCTTTTTTTGTTCATGCTATGAAAGAGTAAGAAAACATTCGTTCCTAATAATTCCGGTTCTCAAATTGAATATTTTATTCTTAGAAGGTATTTTCCTTATCTTGCAAAATATTTCCCTATGATGTTATATAGAGAAATGAAAAATAATATAATAATTTTATAAAAATAATCTAAAATATAAGTAAACAGGATTTTCATATTTATATATATAGTAAGACAATCGGTATGTCAAATCAAGTATATTTTATTTTTCTCAAGTAAAAATACAAAAAGAAATAAATAAATATTTAAAATAAAAATTAGAAATAAAAGTGACCCAAAATGGCACTTAAATGTATTGAATTTTGATTTTTTTTTTTAATCTTTAAGGGATAATTTTTTTGCTTCAGGCCTACCTGGCCAAAAGATAGACTCAATGCTATGAATTTCTCCCGCTTCGTGAAGCAAGAAGATTCTATATGTTAAACATAAATAAATTACAAACATAGAAACTGACAAATAAAGGGCGGTCTTTTCATTTTCCTCCAATCATTTCCGTACAGAGAAATATTTGCGTACGTAAGACGTCTGCAGAGTTCCGTACTTATTAGGTTATTAGGAGGGTACATGTATGTTATACTTAAGTTATACCCTTTATAATTCTTCCTGTAACCTAAGTGTAACCTATCTGTACCCTCTTAATAAGTAAATATGTATGCAACTCTGCTTACATCTTACATCGCAAATATTTCTCCTCTGTACATCGTTCGCCCAAAAATAAATGAAGCAAGAATGCATAAAAAAAACCCCAATACCAAAATAATCTGTAGACATCCCTCTTACCTAATAATAACCACCACCCAATAAAAAAAATGCTTTAAATAAAAAAAAAAAAAGAGAAAAAGACCAATTTTCACATCTCAAGAAGAAACTAACATTAATTCAATACCACTTCACCTCTCAAACTCTGCAACCCCGATCGAAACCAACGGCTCAAAACAATTCTCCTCCGTTTCCTTTCCCATCTCCAGTTCGCCGGCCGTTACAATAACAGAGGTAGGTGCGCACGTTAATATCTGCGCCCGACGGGCCTGCGCCTCCCAATCCGTATTCCACACAAAATAAAGCATGAGCCCAGCGCAACAGATCTGGGCCCCGAGCAAACCCATCCACAATCCACAGAAGCCAATACCAAGCCCAAATCCCAATCCGACTGCAACGGGAATGCCAACAAGATAGAAAGCCCCCAAGTTGATATGGGCCGCATGGCTAGGCCTCGCGCTCCCGCGCAATACCCCACAACCCACTGTTTGCGGGCAGTTTCCCAGCTCGCAAAGCCCGATAATGGGCAGCGCCGCGGCCGTCAACCGCAAGATCTCGCCATCGCTAGTGAACATCTTTCCCCATTTATTCCTTATCCCAGTAGTAAAGCACATGGCTGCGAGCCCCATTCCGGCTGCAACAACCACCACTGCCACAGCGGCCGCCGACCGTGCCTTTTCCGGCCGGTTTGCGCCGAGCTCGTTCCCAACTCTCGTCGATACGCCGAAGCCCAATGAGGAAGGGAAGACATAAAGCAGAGCGGTTGTTTGAATCAGAACACCAACAGATGCGACGGCCGGCTTAGGATCTGGAAGCAGTCCGCAGAGTAGAATCATGAGCTCGTACCACCACCACTCGAGGCAGACAGAGACGCAGCTGGGCGCCGCAAGGCGTGCTAGCGGGCCCCACTCGGTGGCCCACTCCATTGTTGGGCTGCTTGGATTGAATCCGCAGTAGCCGAAACGGAGGTAGAAGCAGAGGAAAAAGAGAAGGGCGAGGTTGGAGGTGGCGGAAGCGGCGGGCCCCCCCGGGGCGGGGGCCGCCGCCCCCCCCCCGGCGACGAAAAGCCGCAGGTAAGTTACTAGGATGAGGCTCGCCGGTAGGTTGACGGCGGCAGCAATGGCGGCGGCGAAGGTGAGAGGACGGGTGATGCCCTGCGAACGGAGGAAGATGCGGATCGGGTGGATGAGGGAGAAGGAGAAGAGGTCGGGGAGAGAGAATAGGATGTAACTTTGTGCCAGAGCAATGATTTCCTGGTCCTGGCCAAGGAAAGCAAGGATTTTTGACATATTTATCCAGAGAAACGAAATTGGTATGGATGAGCAGAGCAAAAGGAGAATGGAGCGGTATAGCGTTAGGGAAAGTAGCTTATGTTGGTTGGCTCCGAAAGCTTGGCAACAGAGCGGCTCCATGCCAAGAGACAGCCCGGAGAGAACAGAGTATCCTGTGATGTTCGCAAAAGCGAGGGCCATCGATCCGGCGGCAAGCGGAAGATTGCCATGGAATCCAAGAAAGAGCGTGGAAACAATTGAACGGGAGTAAAGGAAAAGAGCAGTGAGGGCGATGGGGAACGAGAGATAAAAAAGCAGAGCAGCCTCCTTGATTGCTTCTGAAACGGATGGCAGTAAAAGATACTTGTTGTCTTTCTCTGCCCCTATTGTTTTCTTCTTCCACATATTCGACATGGGAAGAAGAGTGTATAATGGCGAGCCGTCGGCTACGGCGGAAATAACCTTTTCCGCTACGATCGCCGTCGATAAGGTGGCGTTGCTCGGTTTGCACATCACACGGGAAAGGAGATTGTTTATTCTTTTAACCGTTTCCTGATTTCAGCATTTTCTCTGCCCCCTATTGTCTTCTTCTTCGCTTTGCTGGCCTCATCTCGATGAGAACGAGTGCAGAGAAAACAAAACACAGCTGCGTTTTCTCATCCTTTTCAGCGTGAGTGGAGTTGGGAATGGCTTGCGTTACGAGCTGGGTGATATTAATACCGGCCAGGAGGGCAATTTTTGCACTCCATTAATTTAATTCACATGAGGGCATGTTAAAAGAGAAGGAAATGCAACTTAGGGTAAAACAAATTATATATGAGCCATAATACTATATAATGTTCACGGAATAGAGTTTTTTACTTTTAATTATGAAGAAAAAAAATACTTTTTTATGATAATTAGTTTATGATAAAAAATTTTTTGCTTATGTGAAAATTACATTTGCATAATAACCCTTTTAAATAATTTATAATTTTCTTACAGAAATCAATAAACTATAATTCTTTGTTTGTCAAAGAATTTATGGATAATAAAGCCTTTAACATAACATTAGGTGCTTTTATTTAAAATAACTTATTTATTCCTAAAATTTAATTGGAGTTGTGCAACTTAAATGAATATTTTATTAGATTATTTCATTAATGTTTTTTTAATTTATATACAAGAATTAATAAAGAAAAAAAAAAGCTTACATTTGAATATCTTTAAACAATGAACATTTCTTTACTAGAAATACAACAACAACAACAACACGGATCTGTCTCACTAAGAAGGGTTGGCTATATGAATCTATTTTCTCCATTGTGTCCTATTTTGTGTCACTTTTTCATTTAATTCTAATAAATTAAGACCTATTTTGTATATAACATGCCTCGGACTTTTTACATCTACCAACACCTTCTTTAACATAAGTCGAATATAAAATATCATCTACTCTCTTAACTGGAATATCAGATAGTCGACGTTTAATGTGACCAAGCCATCTAATATAACTCTATCTAATCTTGTATGCCACTTGAGCTACACTAAACATTTTCATGTATATATGTTTCGTATTTTATCTCTTTGTGTGTAGTCGCTCATCCACATAAGCACTCTCATCTCAACAACACAAAGCTTAGTTTTATGCTTTCTTCGGTAGACCAACATTCTAATCCATAAAGCATTACAAGCTTTACAACCATCTTATTAAATTTTCATGTAAGTCTACGTGATGCTTTTCTATCCCACATTAGGCCCAATGCATTCCTCCTCTTCAACCATCCAACTTGAATGCAACTAATAACACCCGTATCGATATCACCATCACTTTGAACAGTAGACCCAAGATATCTAAAATGTTCCCTCTTTTAAATGACTTAGGGTCTATTTGGGGTAGATGTAGCTTATTGAATAATCTGTTGATAAGCTGATTAAAAATAATCTGTTGATAAGCTAGGTGCGGGGGCTATTACAAATTTTTATTTTTTTGAAAAAGCCTGACCGTTGCCAATAAGCTCTCACCGGTACAGTGTGAAAACGCTGTTTTCTGCGTTTTGAAAATGCATAAGTTGCCAAAACGCAGTTTACCCAAAAGGTCAAGTGCGTTTTCAAAACGCCACCGCACCAAATAAGCTGCCCCAAACGGGCCCTTAATTACTGATTATTACAATCCCACAACTACTTCTACTACTACTAATATTAACTTACATGTATTTAGTTTTACAGCTACTCAATCGAAAGCTTTTAAACTCTGAAGTTGATCTCGATATTTCAAACTTTTTCTGAACTTTTTCTCTAGTCTATGGGCTTAAAATTGATTTATGATGTAATCTAACTAACGTAAAAAAAGTACTTAGTCAATCCTCCTATTCAAACACAAGTAACAACTCTGGTATACATATTTTGACTGATTTGAATATAAGTCATATCAACATCTTTCTTTTCTAGAACTCTCTAAATAACTTTTCTTGGAACCTTATCATAAATTTTTTCTAAAGCAACAAAAAATCATATGTAAATCCTCCTTATGGTCCTTGTACTCTTACATCAAACCTCAAAATAAATACAAAACATCCATAGTAGACTTGTCCATCATAAGCCCAAAATAATTTTAAAATTTGCATCCCATAAATTTAGTGTGACACAATAACTTAATTCCTCTATAATTTGTATACTCTTATGCTTCCCCTTTATTCTTAAAAATAATGAGAAAAATACTCTCTCTCTCTCTTTCAATTCCTCAAGCAACAATTTATTTTTTAAAATAATAATAAAAAGTTGAATAAGCCAAAAAATTTACAAATCTCCTAAATATGTCCACACTTCTATTGAGTTGTGGTCCGATGCTACTAATTTTCCACCATTAGCTTTTAACGCCTCTTAAACCTCCATTTTACTAATGTGATAGTAAAAATAAAATGATTTATATTATTAATGATATTAAGCTCTCTTAAGGAAATCATATTTTCAAAATCTTCAATAAAAATTTTATCAAAATATCTCACCAACCTATCTTAATTATCATAATATAATAAAAGTATTTTTTGATTTTCATCTTTAATACAAATTACTTGGACTAAATCTTTACTTTTCATATCTCTTCATTTGGTTAGTTTATAATACATCTTTAATCATATTTGGTATCTAGTCAATTATATTCTCTTAAGTTTTCCCTACAGGTCAACTTGTTTTCTTCCCAATTCTCTAAGTTATACCATTTAAACTAATTATAAACTAAAACTATTTATACTTTATCTTTTCCTGCACATTATTATTCCACGACCAACTATTTTTATTTTGTAAGATTTTTTTTTTAATTTCCAAGTATCAACTTTTGAAATTTACTTTATAGTGCTTGTTAGATTTTCTCACGTGTCTTTAGCTTCTTCATGAACGTCCTAAATCTTAAGATCTGAAAGTTACTGATAAAAATATATGTATTTGTGTGCTTTAGAACTCCCCATAAAATTTCATGATAAATACTCATTATAATTTTCATCTTCAAACTCATCATCTTAAAATTTTGAACTATAAATGGATTTCGAGCACTCAAATTTTGACTTGGAATTAACATATAATCATTTTTATCTCGATGTTCTAATTTTCTCACAAGAAAATAGTTATTTTATATTATTTTTTATTCTTTTATAGAAGTAATAATATGTACAGCTCTTTTCTTAAATAAAATATTATTAGTTTAATTTATGTCATCAACATAGATTTTAAATATTTCAATTTATTTGAACAATTAAACACAATATAACTCAATAGACAATCCGGAAATATAGAAATATCACTTTATAATAGATTCAATTACTCAAAAAAAAAGTATATTCAATATTTAGTCGATCTGCGTTTTAAACAAATAAATCTTTCCCCTACCTAACCCGAAGGCTAGATGGGTTACAAACTTCTTATATGAGCAAACCTCCATTGTTAATTATATCTTAAAAGATGGAATCTCTTAATAAAACTCTCAATTAAGACTGGGATTATTTCTTCAAGAATTTTAAAGTTTGATTTTCGTGATTATTTATTTGAAATTTTAAATAGAAATATCAAAATTGGTCGGTTCTTATCGCAACCCAAAGAAGAAAGTGTAAAAAGTTTTTAGATACTGAGAATCTTATTTAAACTTCAATTACTCTATTATTCGACATTATTCATTTTGAAATTGAGGAAATTTATTATTTGAGTTGACAATTTATTAAAAAATTTAGGACTTATATCTCATAATAGTTAATCATAGAAAAACTTTTAAAGTGAGAAATTATGTCATAATGAGATAAACAACGCCAGAATCCTAAGCTAAAGATAAGGTTTACAAAACAAGTAAAACCTCAAACTTAGTTTGATTAGAAAATGAACAAACAATGACTTATAGCACAATTGCATGTCGCTCGCCTTTTCATCATTTGAAAGAGGTATTTGATTTAATATAATATATTTTAACATTTGGAAAGTAATATTTTAATTTTGAAAATATGAGACCAAACTGATCCTATATAGATAATAGTTTAAATAAATGAGCACAACACTGCAAATTATGTATCTACCCCGAGAAATAGACACATCACTTGCTAATGAGGCTCGAATAAATATACTAAAGAATTTATGACATCTGTTTTATTTTGAAAAACCATTTATGTTGATCGACAAATTCTCCTATCTACAATGAAAGATTAGATAGAGTTTATTTTAAGCTGTGTTCTTAAAGTTTTTCCATAAGGGCAAACCCCCACAGTTAATCACATCTTAAATGATCTAGAAAACCTAAGAAAAATATTGATTTAGATCAGACGATATTTTCTTCAACAATTTCAAAATCAAAGAACGGACCAAGGAGTGTCAAATGGGAAAGACTCAATTTTGGAACATTATTATGGAATCCAAAGGGAGAAAATTAGAGGTTGTCACAGATCCTGAGGAGATCCTCAATGACTTCCCAAGCTATCTTATGATTTAGGCTTTAATTTTGAGAAGAAAATTATCAAGTGTTTCATCATACCAATCATTATTATTTAGGGCTTACATTTGTATGATACAATAATACAAATAGCCAAAAAGATAGGAAGATTTATGTCGTAACGGTCGACAACCTCGGAATCCTAAAACGAATTAGGGCTTAAATTGCACAGCATGATTGTGCACAAACCTAAAGATAATGTGAAGATTTATGTTGCACTAGGTAAATGACTTGAAATCCTATGGCTTGTTGTTTAATTCTAAAGAAGAGATTTGTTGTTGTAGATCTCCTTGCTGTTGCAGAATACTGCCCTCAAATTTAGCTCTGAGCTCCTCATCAAAGTAGCAGTAATAAAGTCTAAGGTCCAAAGATTTAAATGAGCAAGTATATTAAATCAATATAAAGAGACGATTAAAGTTGATTAGAGTGACATCGGTTAGGGTCCCACTGTTCTCTCATTCCGGAACCACTATTTTCTATCAAATTTACTTAGGTTAAACGAGCTGTTAAGCTCATTTAAACTGGGAAGATCTCGTTAGCAACCGTGGGTTATCTCCTCCGAGGGACTCCCGTAAATTCAAAAGGATGTGTTATAAAATTATTGTTTTGTTGTTTAATTTTGAGGATAGCTTTTAAATTTTTAAAAAAATGTTTTAATAAATATTTTAAATTTTGAAAAAGGTTTTGTAATCAAAGCAGGTACAAGTAATAAAATGCAACA